TCATCATCATCATCATCATCATCATCATCATCATCATCATCATCATCATCATCATCATCATCATCATCATCATATACTCGGAGAACTAAAAGGGTAACATAGCCTACCCTAGGAGTTTCTGTTTTGTTAGCATTACAGGGTTAATTCTGAAGTACCTAAAAATACTATGATATTGTGCTCATATTTTTTTTCTCCATGAATCTTCCTTGACACAATTCTCCACACTAAGACTTTCTGGATGTAGTTCTAGGGTTTGAGAGTTAAGTGGGAGAGGTGGCAAGGGTGTTCCTTCTGAAGAAATGTGCGTCCTCCTCCTGCCCTGTGACCACGCCTGTTCTTGGAAAGCCTCACACAGGGCGACAACAGGACTGAAGAGATTCTGCCCTGTTGTGCGGTCACCACTAGACGTGTGTTCTCCGTGTCTTAAGCTTTTCCCATGAGACTCAGAGCATGGCGACAGGCGGTCAGCAGTATAAGCACTCCCTGACCCCAAACAGTGCCGCAATTGCTTTAGGAAACTGGGACGACATTTTCATAGGCACATACATAGCTCATTATAGTCTTAACTCCCTCAGACTTGCACTTCATTTTATTACTAGTTTTTAAACTAGTGATTATGAAAAGTAATAAAGATTCATTATAGAACTCTTCCATTCACACCCTACTATATGCTGGGCACATACCCTGGGGCCCGTTAGCAGCCATGGTAATTAAAGTACTATGCAAATATTCTATCAGTGGAGAAACTTTATTTTAACAAATTAAACCTTAGCTAGTTTAGTTTATACACTAGGTTTAGTATCATGGGTCCTTTTTAAAAAAAAAAAAATATTGGGTATAGACTTCATATTGGCACTTGGGTAAATTACCTTGCCTGAAGTTATCTTCAAAATTTAAGAACCTTATGCAATTAGTTTCTCAGCATTTAAATTATTCAAAAACAGAAAGAGAAGATTAATACATGGAAAATCAGCATAAAACTACAGTTTTATAAAATAGGACAAGCCAAGTGAGAGGGTAGGTTAAAACTGCTTAAGTACTGACATTTTGTCTTTCTTTCCATGTGTCTTCTCTCCAGAACCCTTCCACTTCCTTGTAGTATAAACTTTCAGTCAAATTTATGTGTCCTACAAACCTATCCGGAAGTTAAAATAAAACGAACCAATAAACAAGCACTGTTGGTGTTTATTAACAAGATGAAAGCCACGTAACTTAGCGGCTTAAGGTATCTTTCCCTGTGGCACACACAAGAGCACATTGCTGGCTTTTAAATTATGCAGAGATGATCAGCAACTTCTATGGATATCTGCATATTACTTTCATGCCATTTTCTGAAAACAGGGCGGAGGTTTCACTAGTATCCTGGCGATGATGTTTCCTGCTCTGTGTAGTGTCTGCGGCTAGCAGATAAGCAGCCCAGATGTTATGGGAGTTACTAAGAAGAATGGGTCTTATTTTAATACATGCAGTATGGTACTTATGGTAATTTTTGCATAAAAATTCAAGAAAACATTAGGCTATCCCTTGTCATCAACTGCGAATTTGAATTTTAGGAATTTAAGCATTTTAAAATTATGTGTTTTGAAACATTTCAGCATCTAATATTGCTGACTTCACAGCCTATTTTTTTTCTGATTGTGCATCCCGGGGCTTCTGACAGAATGCAAAGGAGAAAAGGAAGAAAGGGAGTTTAATGACTCTCAAGACCATGACTTAGAAATGTGATTAAGCCTGTGCTGACTGGCAAAAGCACCGGAAGAGCCTACATCAATGGCCTGTGATTGTGACAGGCGTAAACACTAACCATTATCAATTGCCCACATGTTTCCGAGGATTGGCCCTGTTTGTCTCCAGCGAATCCTGGTGTCTCGGGTGAGTGCTGCATTGGGGAGGGGAATCGTGATTCGGTTCCACCTGCAAGAAATTTAGCACGAAATCAGCTTCCCAGCCATGCCCCCCTCTTCTGAATTAGTCTTACATGCTTGCAGGAACACCAAAACTAACAAAGTTTATACATTCACCCGTGGAGTCTGTAGGTTAATTTTGCTGGCTTTGAAAATCTTTTAGTTATATAGTTAGTGCTTCTTCTGTAATCTGGCAAAGATTTTACAGAGTCATCTTGAATTTTATACTAGTCCACAAAAGGCTGTGTAGTGTACCTTAATTTATGAGGAAAATTAGATTCACCACCATGACATATAGCAGATGGCAGAGTAAGACCTGAGCTAGGTCTAATTTCAAAAGTTACCTTTCCTGTGCTCTTTGTTTTAAGTATGTATTTGGCAATGCAATTTATTTGTTTTAAAAAGTACCAACAATGGGACATAGAATTCAGAACACAAGTTTTCATACATAAAGAATAACTGATCCCATAAAGTGTGACCATGCATAGGATTTAGCTAAAAACATTTGTGTATTTATTGCTATAATACCACTCATTTTTAATTTTTAAGATTTATTTTTATTGTTTTATGTGTATGCATGTTTTGCCTTCACGTGCGTCTGTGCAGTACCTCCTCCGGTGCTTGAGGAGGTGGTGCGCCTCTGTGTGGGTGCTGGGAATCGAACCTGGGTCCTTTGCAACATCAGGTGCCCTTAACCTCTGGGCCAACTCTCCTATCACCACTCTTAAGGAGAAGTCAGCTTACTTAACTATGATTTGAAATTCTAGTCTCAAAATTACTCACTTTTTTTTTTTTTAATCGCACAACACAGATCCAGTCTTTCACCGAACCTGGGGACATGCTTACTCACCCACTGTAGTTTTCAGAGGAGTAGACGGTGCTGTGAGGAAGGTGGGGGCCCGCACAGGTCTCGGGCAGGCACTCGGTGTGGAGCAGGGACCATGACCGGCCGTGGTTAGTCGAGACCTCCAGGCTGACACTAATAACGACAGAGCAAGCACAACAGAAAGGGGGCAGAGGTAACACGACTCCTCCCATTTCTGGCTGAACACCCCGAGGGAATCAAGGAGTGTGGGATTCCTGTAAGGTGTAGACCGCGCACTTTTTGTCGCCTCTCACTGAGGTCTGACCAGCCTTCCAAGGGCAAGCGGTGCAGTTACTGCCACCAGAGCCCGTTGTTGGAAGGGCACCGTGGGGTAACCCAGGCTTGTGCTCTTGATTCTGATAGATGGCAAGGCAATTACCGTGTCCCACACTGTCACTTCAGCCTGGAGGCGAGGCCAGCAAAATTCTTACAGGGGATCTGGGCGACACCGATGCGAGTGAAACAGAGAAGTCACAGCCCTTAAGGCGCTAATTGACTTCCATACCTGGTATTGGGGGATCACTAGCCAAGAGAGGGTAATCTCATGTTCAGTTATTTCCCCCCTCTCTCAGCAATCTGTTATAATCGATGCTGACACAGCATGTGTGAATACCTTTGCCACCTTATATCAAGCTCTCAGAATGGAGCTGTTCTGACCGAAAAATCCACCCAGTCACACCCATCCTATTTATCAAAGAAAGAACAATTTTTTTTTTCAGAGAAGGTAGAAGGAATCTTTATTTTATTGTTAGTGGATATTTCATTAAAATCCTGGCCAGAAATCTAGTGACAACTCTCTCTAACTCAAAGGCCAAGAGCACGCACTCACGCCCCACCGGGCGCTCGGCAGTGCGCTTCTTACCTGTTGCCAGGCTGGTGCGTGCCACAACCCAGGTTGATGGAGAACTGGATCATGTGAGACATTGGAGAAGGGAGGACAGGCAGGACGTGGAAGAAGTCTACAGCCCAGACATTCCGATTGGGCCCTTGGTGGTTCTTTTGCCGGAGACAAAACTTGGTGGCAGGTGTCTGAAGTTCAGGATTGATGACCACCGAAAGCAAAGACGGGACCTTCCAAGAAAGGAACCTCAAATTATTTACAATCCTTCCCATCTAGGCAACGTGAGTTCTCTTAGGTTCTACCTGGCAGTTGCTGAATACGCAGCCACCACATATTGAGCACGAGGCAATGACCTTTGTGCTGTTTGTTATTTCATGTGGAGGACTCTATCTTCAAGGACAACTCATTTCAGTGACTCAGAATTCCTTCCGTGTGGACAGTGGCGCTTCTTGTGTGTGACCGATCAAGTCTGTGCATCTGCTTTACCTGCCTTAGCACAGGACCAAGGCAGCTGAATAATGATTTGATTTTATCACTGGTGCTTTCATAGCGGTTTTGCTTAATATTAATATTTTCCCCAACTAGGAATTTCGAGAATTTTTGAGACTCAAAACAGAAGAAGTCATAGACAGTAAATCAATACATAATAACTCATGTCCATGATTTGGTGTGAAGCAGTCACAGGACCAGAGCAGATAAAATCCTACCAACTAATTGCTAGAAAAGTGATCCACAGTGACTGTCCGGGTGCAATCAACTGGGTTACAATCAACTGAATGCTGAACTTGTTAGATACTCTTCTCTGATGACTCTTTTTCTCAGCTATTTTTAAATTCTTTATTTAGTGTGTATGTGCTTGTATGGGTAGGTGTGGGCATGTGTACATGAGGCCAGGGGTTGAAGTCATGTGTCTTCCTCAACCATTGCTCTCCACTTTTTCCCCCCTTGGGGACAGCATCTCTCACTGAGCCCGAAGCTTGTCAGTTCAGCTAGACTGGCTGAGCCAGCTCTAGGGTTCACCCTGTTTCCACCTCCTCAGCAATGAGAAGGCAGGTGTGCACCACCATGCCCAACTTTTTATCTGTGTTCAGGCCCCGAACCTAGGTACCTACAGCTTCTAGAGCAAGCCCGTTACTGACAGAGGCTTCTCCTCAGCCCCCAACTTCAATAAACTACCTAAAAAAGAGAAACTGCTAATGACTGTGGTCTAAGATCAGCACATGTCGACAGGATAAAAAAATTTCACACCCGTGACAAGCATGTCCCATGCTTTTCAGGATGTTTGTAAATAACCAGAAATAATGCCTATCCCATATCCAGAGAGCAAAAGGAAAAGGGCAGTCCTGTAGCTCTCCAATTAGTACAGGATTTTAGTCATTAGGTCTAAATCTCTAGTGTGGGACTCTATATTCATGTTGTCTGAAAGCAAGGCTGTGAAGTCCTACAATTAGAGTCACAGCTTTCTCAGGGACAAGAATAAATGTCATTCGGAGGATTGGTTTTACTTTATTGTTGCTGTAATTCATTCTTCCTGATAAAATCTGAGTTTTCATTTATATCAGAAATAAAAATGAATGTTAAAAATCCCAAGTCACTTAACAAAACAAGCTAGGCATTTCCTGGGGCAGCATGGAAAGAGAGGCATCCTCTGTGCCTGGCACGGTCTTTGTGGATGTGGCTTCGGCCTGAGAGTTGAGGTGGGTCATTGGGCAGAAGGGTTGGCGTTTGTACCTTATAGGAGGAATAGGAAAGAGTGTCCAGTGCAATGTGCTCTTTCCTCCCCTCAATCTTTGCATATAAGATGATATCGTTTTCATGAGAGTCTCCGGGGTCACAGATGCCGCCTGTACCAAACAAAAATGTCCTGGTGTTAGAACCCATCTTGCATCCAAACCATCAAACAGTGTTACAAGTCAGAGTAAGAAATAATTACAGTAGCACATGCTCCTCAATGGTACCTTTTACACAAAGACAATGAGGCCCGAGGCCCAAGGAATTAATTAATGAAGCTAGCTCGGGAGAGCCATGTTGAGACGCAAAGACCAGTATTACTCGTTGTTTAATGGGATTACTCAAATAACAGTGTGTGCTGAGCAGTGGGTGACATGGTCATGATTCAACACAGTTAAAAAGAAGTGCTTTTTTGTGTGCATGAGGCACATGTGTGCATATATGCCTTTTTTGTGTGAATACACGTGTGTGTAGGTGTTATTGCACTTGAGTGTACAGGCCAGGGGACAACCCTATGTGACACCTTTTTGCTAAGACAGGGTCTTTCACTGGTTTGGAACTCATGGAGCAGACCAACCCGGCTAACTTGCAGGTCTCAGGGCGTTGTCAGTCTCTGCCTCCACAGTGCTTCAATTACAGAGTAAGCCAGCATGCCAGGGACTGGCCATTGCCCCAGTCCCTCTGAGAACCTGTCGCCATGGCCTTTAAGTAGCTGTACTTAGGTATACTCACGCTTGGCTCTTCTATGTTATTCCATCTGTCTACAAGTCTGTTTTGTGCCAGTACCATACTGCTTTATTATTATAGCTCTAGAATATATCTTGAAATCTGGAATAGTAATCCTACAACATTGCTCTGTTTGCTTTGGATTGTGTTGGCTACATAAGGGTTTTTGCTTGTTTTGTAGTTCCAAAACAGTTTTAGAATTTTTTTTCTATTTCTGTGAAAAATGCTCTGGGCACTTGGGCTGGGATAACAGCGAATCTGTAAATGGTTTTGGGTAGAACAATCATTTTCGTAATATTAATTCTACCAATCCACGAGCGTGGAGGTCTTTTCTGGTGTCTTCCTCAACCTCTTCTTTACAGAGTTGAAGTCTGCATTATAGAGGTCGTTCATCTCCTTGATAAAGTATATTCTAAGATCTTCAGTGTCTTTGAGGCTACGGTAAGTGTGAGTGTGCCCATAAGTTCTTTTTCAGGTTGTTTGTTGTTGGTGTCCAGAAAGGCGACTGAGTTTGTAAGTTGATTTGTACCCTGTCACTTTGCTGAAATTGTTGGCTGTTTACAGTTTTCAGGTGGAAATCTGGGGCTCTTTATGTATAAAATCATATCATCTGTAAATTGAAATAATTCGGTATCTTTTCCTATTTGCATCCCTTACTTTCCTTCTCTTACCCTCCAGCTCCTGTTAGTGCTTTGAGCACTATATTGAAATGGAGTGGGGACAGTGGACAGCCGTGCCCTATTCCTGATTTTAACAGTATCACTTTCAGTTTTCCCCCATTTAGAATAATGCTGCGTGGGGGCCTGTCATATGTAGACTTTATTATGTTGAGGTATGTTTTCTCTAGTCCTCCTCTCTAGGACGTTTATCATTAAGTCATGTTGGATTTTTTTCAAGGGCCTTTTCTGTATCTACCTAGATGATCAAATTATTTTTGTCTTTAAGCACATTTGTATGAACATGTTTGGTGAGTCCCTGCATCAAAGACTTCTGAAATGGTGCTATGGCCATGTTTCAAGGAACATCAATAGTATTTTAGCAGATACGTTTGTATTTTAAGTATGTATCTTCTTACTTTTTACATTTATAGCTGGTGCTTGATCTTATTAGTGGAAGGTATACAGCATAGTTTGCTCTTTATGACTGTGCTTTTTGGTCACACAAGCTGTTACACCATTAGAACTGAAAGGGAGAGGAGAGACTCCTGATGGCAGAATAGTCCAAGCAGGAGTTCTGTCTTGTTACCACTGATCTATTCTTTCTCTAATACACATGATTAATAATTATGGCTAAGTAGAAGTCCCACATAGTCACTCAGAACGGCACCAGCCACATGAGTACAAGCACGCAGAAGCACTTCTGAAGCCCATCACACCAGCCTTTTCTGTTACCGTTACACTTCTGTTCCAAAATCAACATCACTGATGTTAACTGTATTTACAGGTAACTGGGATTGCTTCCGTTCTGTGGTGCCAATAAGGTAACCCTCAACTTCTAGAAGAAGATCATCCTTTGGGAAGTTCTTGAAATCGGCAAATAATGGTGGGGGTACCAGCCAAATTTAAATAAGACAGCAGGATGTTGCTGTTTACAAATGTCTCATCTGATTCAGTTTGGATAACGGGGACTGCCCGTTGGAAGAAACTGTCTGACAAGTGATGCTAAGAAAAGCTAGATGGAGCCTAATTCGTATAAGATGTTTCATAATTAAAGGAATAGTAGCCAAAAAGAAGGCTGTAGAGAAAAAAACAAAAACAACTTTGACAATCTACAGGAGTAGAAGGGTTCTTGGAGATCAATGCATATCCACGCGGCTGGCTGTGTGGTGGGCATAACATGTTCTAGAACTGCTGCCATGACATGACGGCATGAAAATATCTGATCTGATGCTGTAAACATTACGTTCTCGTAGCCTGTTGATGACAACTGTGACTTGCCCATTAGCCTTTTCTGGGCTCCTTTGGGACCCTGAAGGAAATTGGTTATCTGGAGCTACAGATAGCAGCTATCTGTAGTGACTATGGTCATGCCATCAAGGCCACATGCAAATCTCACCCTGCTGAGCAAGCTGTCGTATTGATGAAACATCGCTCTTTCATCTTTCTGAGTGCGACCGTTTTCAACAACCTGAGCAAATGCCTCATCAGACACTTGTGTTTGGCTTTAGAAATGCTCTATTAGAATTATACTGTGAAAATCCTCTTGAGCCTCCTAAGCTCATCCTAATCTATTTGACATGTTTAAGCAATATCCCAAGAAGCTGGTTGCTAACTGAGAAGCCAAGGTCCATGAGACAAACAGCACAGGACTGGAGGCTTCTGGAGATGACCTTGTAGCTAGAGTACCGAGCTAAGCCAGGGAAAAGGAAGTTCAGCGTATGTCCTTGTTTTTTTTGTTGTATTGTGTAATAAAGCAATGACTGGCATTATTGTAAATGGTGCTGCTTGGGGGAAGATCCACAAAAAAACCAGGATTCTCCTTTAGAAAACTGAATTATCAAGAAAGGAACTAAAACAGAGATGTCCCATGGTGTGGTTTTAGCGTAGCCTTTCTAAGAGCACAGGCCTGGGCAGTCAGTTCTCCGAGGGTTGGTGAACTGCTTCCTGGTGTCTGCTCTTTTAAGAACAGCCAGTGAACAGCAGCTGATGGGCGGAGAAGACACCTGGGGGCCTCTCCCACAGAGCAGAGTGGAAGAGAGAGTCGGGGGAACCGAGATGTGGGGACGGTGACAGGGCTTCTCTGAGACACCCCTCTGAAGGCAATCTGTCAGTCCTGTGACAGCAACTCCTACAGGAAGAAATGGCATCTTGCCTGGCTTACCAAGCTCTGATGTGTGGTGGAAGAGGCATTTCGTACAGCAACTAAAGTACAGAAAGATCTCAACAAAAGCTGGATGGAGGGTCAGTTTTAGAGTACTTACATACTGTCCTAAACAGCTTTATTGGCATATTGGCACTTATTTGTGTGAAGAAAGCGACTTTGCTGAATTTTAACTATTTTCATAGCACTAGCTAAATATACAGTAGTATGTCCACTATTTCAGGCTTTTTTTTTTTTTTTTTTTTTTTTTTTTACATAGTGTGTGTTGCATGTAGCCAAGGAGGATGTGAAATTATTAACATTCACCTGACACTTCACTTTTTAGAACAGTTTGTTATCACGATTGTTTGTGTGTGCATGCATGTTAACTTGGGTGCACATAGACTCATGTTCCCAGAGGTCAGAAGTCAATGTTGGGTATCTTTGTCTATTGCTCTTCGGCTTATTTTGGGGGGTAGGGTCTCTGACTAGAGCTGGAGTTCACCAGTCAGCTAGACTGGCTGGTCAGCAAGGTGCAGAGATCCTTCCTCTCCGCCCCAAGTGCTGGGATTACGGGCGTTCCCCACTGCACTGGCTTTTTCCATGGGGGCTGGGGGGTGCGAACTCAAACTCTTGGCTTTCAAGGCAAGTTCTTTAGCTACTAAGCCACCTCCCAACCCATGTTTCACTCTGTCACTAACTCTTCCAGTTAGCCTTTTACTATGCCTAGTTTATTATTTACTTATCACAGGTATGTTTCTGTGTATAGAAGAAAAAACAGCATCTAGCAAAGTCACCTAGTGGCATGTGGTTTTAGACATCCAGAGATCACAGCATAGGGGAAGGGTCCTCAGCAGAAAGAATGATAATTAGCATTAACTGTATTGTGATGAGATACCGTGGCAAAATTCCAGAGAAAAGAGATGGTGTGAACTAAGAGATCTGAGACAAACTAAATGCTCAGTAAACAATTTTAGAGGAACAGTGAGCAGACCATAAAATGAACGGTATTTATTAGGCTATTTTTGTCCTGTTCACTGAAGTTTGGCTCTAAAGCACTGTCCTGGATGCTGGTCCTCAATGATGTTTGTTGAGTGGGAAATGAGGTTTTAAGTTAATTCTGAAAGTTGTACAAGTTTAAGACAAACACAGTTGTAAAAACCGATAGGAACCAAGGACTGAACGCGTCATAAACTCAAGCTTGAGAGGAAGTGTCATCTGGAGCTGATAAACAAACTAGATGCTAACTTCCCAGAGCACCGCATTATAAACTCATCCTAAATCCCTTCTCACACTGCTCTTTATTTTCTCCCCAGCTGCCACAGTTTGGAAATCTCTTCTATAGGTCCAGTGTTCTCCTCTCCAATCCTTCTATCCTGTCCTCTATTATCTCGGCCTGAAGATCAGCTTCTCTCAACGCTGCTTTCTCAAGATCTTGACTCCATCTTTGCTCGTCTCTGATGACATTCTTGAGCCTTTATCCTGGCTGACTTTACCCTCCATGGCAATCCTATGCAGATCACTGTCTTCTCCCAAGGGAGCTCGCTCCCCTCATCTACCTGCCTCCTTCTCCTCTTCATGCTCTTTTGCAGTCTCTATTTCTTTTTTCCTTTACCCTCCACTGCGAAAAGAATTTCCCTAAATTTTTCATGTCATCGCCTATCAGCAGCTCTGGGGAAATTAGTTGAGCTTTGAAAATTCAGCCAAAATCCTCTTTTCTTTATTCATCACCTCACTTATGCAGCACTCACTCATCAAGGCTCAGGAAGTGAGTGGTTTTCAAATGTGCTCTACGCTGTGAACAGAATCTCTATCTTAACGTGGTCTTCTAGAAACCCAAGCCTTCACATGTCTAGGACCAAATGCTTCCGCATGCCTAACTCTTTTAAAAATATGTGCCACTGTAGGAAATGGTACCTCTCCTTAGGCACCTGGAAGAGAAATGCGCATTGTTTTCATAAACCCACAGTCAGCTGTGTGCCAGCTTCAGTTGGCTGTGTCTCTGCAGACATCCTGTCTTAATCCCCTTCTTCTCACTGTCACTTAACACTGACTCATTCTTCTGTTGCCTTGACTGGCTCATTAGATACATAACAGAGTTGCCAGACAACATACACAGCATGGAAAGGGAAAGTACTTATCAAAATCTGTTAAAATTAATATTTATTGTTTTAAAATATTGTTCATTATAAACTTTTAACACCGTTACAAGCTTAGCCAAGCTGTAACACTTTGCTGTTTTCTTTCCTTGTAAGGTGATCTGACCCCACTGTCCCAACTAGTGTCTTGTCTTCTGGTTTCTGATTAGTTCAGTGTTTCTTTCACACTCTTGATGGAAATACCTCCCTAAAAACAGGTAATAGAGTCCTAGCAAGAATCCTTTGACATGACAGCAAAAGAAAGAGCTAAACTCCTTCAGTGGGACTGAGAAAAGCACCCCTCTAGATCACCTTACATGCTTTCATTAAGCTTTTGGAAAAATTAGCTGCAAATGTATCACATACTTTGATTTTTTTTAATGTCTTTTATTCAGAATGGTTAGAATTGGTCGAATGCCATATCCTTCCTGAAGCCTTACCCTTACCCTTCCACCACAGCGACCCTCGGTTCTCCCTGCCCTTTCACAGCACATTGCTCCATCAAAGCTTGTTGTGTTCTCCCCACACAGTTAGATGTCACTTGTGGTCATGGGCTTTGTCTGAGTCACTTCCGAAGCAGTAACAGCACAGATAGTTGGGTTTATGAGGCACCATTTAAGTGCTTTTCTGTGTTAACGCATTTACCCAGCAACTCTGTGGCTGGGGTAGCATTGCTCTCTGCTGTCTCTGTATGACCTACCTATCCCAGGCTCTATAGGCAATATGCACGTCTTACTTTTACTGAATGGAGCACTTTTTATTTTGGATGGTGTATTTCTTTGGGGTTACTAAAATTAAATTTTTGTGCATAGTCAATACAACTTTAATACATTAGTTAATAACAATTTTGTTACAGAAAGAATTACAGATGACTTAAGATCTCAACACAGACACTGTACAAAGGAAAATTAACATGATGACTTAATCTTTTATAAATCCATGCAGATGCGTTGATTTACTATTGAAATGCTAATTTCAAATGAATTTTTTTTCTTTTGAGACAGGGTTTCTCTGTGTAGCCTTGGCTGTCCTACCTGCTTGGTAGACCAGGCTGGCCTTGACCTCACAGAGATCCGCCTGCCTCTGCTGGGATCAAAGGCATGTACCACCATGCTCAGCTTCAAATAAATTTTATCAAGAAGGTAAAGATCGAAAAACAAACTACAGCGGTTATTACAACTTTGTTTTGCTAATGTTTTGTAGAAATTACCTTTAGTAAAGTGAGAGACAGTTTGAATATTATTTAAAAGAAATGAGGTCTAGACATTTAAATGTACAAACTACTTTAGAGTAAACAAGGGTGCCCTGAACTTTGACCTATGGCTTTTCTGCTGTGGGCAGATTGTTGTTGGAAGCATCATATATGTAATATACTTGCTACCATGATGGTCTTGAGGTCTGTCTTATGCAACCTCTAGCTGTACAACTGTCAAGAAGCTGAGCAGGCATGGGAGTGATAAATTGTAGCCGAGTCCTAGGCTTGGGAACATTGTGTCCTGATGAACTGACTTCTTTGCTGCTAAGTTCAAAGGTAGATAATGTTTGCTTCCTGCTTCATTTCCAGATATTGCATGTGATTGTCCACTCTACAGAGACAGCATATGACAGAAATGACATCAGTGAAAGAATATGTCACTGTGCTTATGTTGCCTAGCGGGACAAATTTGGCAGGCCACAAATTTCAAGCCCCTAATTTGTTTTGTATTTTTTATTTTTATTAATTACAGTTTAGTCACTTTGTATCCCCCCTGTAGCTCCCTCCTTCCTCCGTCCCAATTCCACCTCCCTCCCCCTTCTCCACCCATACCCCTTCCCAATTCCACTGATAGGGGAGGTCTTCCTCTCCTTCCTTCTGATCCTAGTCTATCCGGCCTCACCAGGAGTTCAAGCCCCTAATTTATCTATGGATATTTTCCCAACTTTTCTACCTATAATGAATTTGAGTCTGTTTTATGAACATCTTTTACGTTTTTAAACCTATTGGAATGTAGAGAGGATTATGAAACACTCTAGGGCACTATAAACCATTTCCCCCCTCGGCTTCCCCTAACAGCAGAGCTGGGTAATAACAGAGCATCCACGTAAATAAATGACTCACGTTGATGAGTAGCCAGTTACTGGATGTGACAAAGGGGTCACCTTGTTCTTTGCTTCCTTCCCGTATCTTTTTTTTTTTAAGAAAATGAATCTTTATTTCTTTTTGAAATTATAACTACAACATTTCCTCCTTCCATGTCCTTCCTCCAGACCTTCCCACTTCGCCTTCTGTACTCGCCTTTAAATTCATGACCTTTTTCCTTTTTCTTTTTTAAACTAATTGTTATCACATGCAGCACCGTCACTGTGACCAAGGAAGGGTTGTGAGAGAAATATAATAGTTTGTCTTTGGGCCTAGTTACAGCATGTCAAGAATGCCTTTTTCTACAGTGTGGCACCAACAAGGCTGGCCTGAGGCAGCGGTGAGTACCACGGGTCTTTATTCTGCCAGGAGAGCTCAGATTTCACTGATTTTCATTTTACATAATAAATAAGAAACCAGTATTATCTCCAAAGGCAAAGGTATTGATCTGTACCTACCCATAACAAAATAGAACCTCAGGTTCCCAAAGCCAGTTGTGTCCATGTAGGGAGTGCATAGCTTCCTCTCTCCGTCTCTGAGGAACACCAGAGACAATCCTGACTCTATGGTTCCACACTCTACACCAACAACAGCTCCCAAGATGTCCCATCTAAAAAAGAAGCAAGGATCGTTGAAAGTTAGAATACCAAATGCAGCTTTATACAGATTTTTTTAATCTTTATTTATTTATTTTTAGTGACGGGTAGATAATTCTGAAGATGCGATACTGTAGACTTTGGGCAATGACTAAACCTTAAGCATATGCTGCTCAGCCACACTTTCCCTGTTATCAGCTTTAGTCAAAAGAGCATTTACTTTCGTCTCTCCTGTGTCTAAAGCAACATTCTAGAACAAGAGAATATTTTTTTAATTTAATTTTATTTTATTAATTATACATTATTTACTTTGTATCCTCCCCACAAGCCCCTCCCTCCTTCCCTCCCATTCCCACCCTCCCTCCCCCTTCTTCACGCATGCTCCTCCCCAAGTCCACTGATAGGAGAGGTCCTCCTCTCCTTCCTTCTGATCTTAGTCTATCAGATCTCATCAGGAGTGGCTGCATTGTCATCTTCTGTGGCCTGGTAAGGCTGCTCCCCCCTCAGGGGGAGGTGATCAAAGAACAGGCCAATCAGATTATGTCAGAGGCAGTCCCTCTTCCCATTACTATGTAACCCACTTGGACACTAAACTGCCATGGGCTACATCTGTGCAGGGGTCTTAGGTTATCTCCATGCCTGGTACTTGGTTGGAGTATGAGTCTCTGGGAAGAACCCTGTGTTCAAATTTTCTGGTTCTGTTGCTCTCCTTGTGGGGTTCCTGTCCTCTCCAGATCTTACTATTTCCCACTTCTTACATAAGATTCTATGTATTCTGCCCAACAGTTGGCCATAAGCCTCAGCGTCTGCTTTGATAGTCTGCAAGGCAGAGCCTTTCAGAGGCCCTCTGTGGCAGGTTTCTAGGTTGTTTCCTGTTTTCTTCTTCTTCTGATGTCCATCCTCTTTGTCTTTCGGGATGGGGATTGAGCATTTTAGTCAGGGTCCTCTCTTATGATTAATTTCTTTAGATGTACAGATTTTATTAGGTTTATCCTATGTTATATGTCTATATGAGTGAGTATATACCATGTGTGTCTTTCTGCTTCTGGGACAGCTCACCCAGGATGATCCTTTCCAGGTCCCACCATTTACCTGCAAATTTCATGATTTCCTTATTTTTCATTGCTGAGTAATACTCCATTGTGTAGATGTACCACAATTTCTGCATCCATTCTTCAGTTGAGGGGCATCTGGGCTGTTTCCAGCTTCTGGCTATTATGAATAGAGCTGCTACAAACATGGTCGAGCAAATGTCCTTACTGTGTACTTGAGCCTCTTTTTGATATATGCCTAGAAGTGGTATGGCTGGATCTTGAGGAAGTGCTATTTCTAATTGTCTGAGAAAGCGCCAGATTGCTTTCCAGAGTGGTTGTACAAGTTTACATTCCCACCAGCAGTGGAGGAGGGTTCCCCTTTCTGCACAACCTCTCCAGCATGTGTTGTCACTTGAGTTTTTGATCTTGGCCATTCTGATGGGTGTAAGGTGAAATCTCAGGGTTGTTTTGATTTCCATTTCCCTAATGGTTAATGAGGTTGAACATTTCTTTAAGTGTTTCTCTGCTATTCGATATTCCTCTACAGAGAGTTCTCTGTTTAGCTCTGTACCCCATTTTTTAATTAAATTACTTGGTTTGCTGCTTTTCAGCTTCTTTAGTTCTTTATATATACTGGCTATTAGCCCTCTGTAAATAAAGGGTTGGTGAAGATTCTTTCCCAATCTGTAGGCAGTCGTTTTGTTTTGATGATGGTGTCCTTTGCTTTACAGAAGCTTTTCAGTTTCATGAGGTCCCATTTATTGATTGTTGCTCTTAGAGCCTGTGCTGTTGGTGTTCTGTTCAGGAAGTTTTCTCCTGTACCAATGAGTTCTAGGGTTTTCCCTACTTTTTCTTCTAACCGATTTAATGTGTTTGGTTTTATGTTGAGGTCTTTGATCCACTTGGACTTTAGTTTTGTGCAGGGTGATAAGTATGGATCTATTTGCATTTTTCTACATGTAGACATTAAGTTAGACCATCACCATTTGTTGAAGATGCTATCTTTTTTTCCATTGTATGGTTTTGGCCTCTTTGTCAATGGTCAGGTGTCCATAGTGTGTGGGTTTATTTCAGGGTCTTCTGTTCAGTTCCATTGATCCACCATTCTGTTTCTATGCCAGTACCATGCAGTTTTTATAACTGTTGCTCTATAGTACAGCTAAGATCAGGGATGGAGATAACTCCAGAAGATCTTTTATTGCAGAGGATTGTTTTAGCAATTCTGGGTTTTTTGTTATTTCATATGAAGTTGAGAATTTATGATAGTATAGGTGAGTGACCCCCAAAACTCTACCAGGGAACTCCTACAGCTGATTAACACCTTCATCAAAGTGGCTGGATACAAAATTAACTTAAAAAAATCAGTAGCCCTCCTGTATACAAAAGACAAAAGGGCTGAGAAAGAAATTAGGGAAATAACACCCTTCACAATAGCCACAAATGACATAAAGTACCTTCCTATAACCCTAACCAAGCAAGTCAAAGACTTGTATGAAAAAAATTTCAAGTCTCTGAAGAAAGAATTAGAAGAAGATATCAGAAGATGGAAAGATCTCCCATGTTCATGGCTTGGCAGGATTAACATAATAAAAATGGCCATCTTACCAAAAGCAATCTACAGATTTAATGCAATTCCCATCAAATTACCAACACAATTCTTTACAGACCTGGAAAGAAAAATTCTCAACTTCATATGGAATAATGAGAATATTTCTTATTGGTCTGAAATTTTCATATATGGCTGTCATGCATATTGGTCAAATCCATCCTCTTCTTTCTTCTCTATCTGATCTCCTATCCCCATTCCCAAATCAAAAGTGCTTATAGTTGAGTTGAGGAGGGAAGTGGTTGAAGATATGGAGCAGGACGGGAGCCTACCACTGAGGGCCTCTGAAAGACTCTACCTAGCACGGAATAGAAGCAGATACTAAAACTCATAGCCAAACTTTGGGCAGAGTGTAGAGAGTCTTATGGAAGAGTGGGGGGACAGAAGGATCTGGTGGGGACAGGAGCTTCACAAGGGGACCAAAAAGGCCAACAAATCTGGGCTCGGGGGAGGGGACTGCAGAGACTGATATACCAACCAAGGACTGTGCATGGAAAGGACCTAGATATTCTGCTCAGATGTAGCTAATAGGTAGTTCAGTCTTCATGTGGGTTCCCTAGTCAGAAGAGCAGGGGTCATCTCTGACATGGACTCTGGTACTCACTCTTCGTTCACCTCCCCCTGGCAGGGTGGCCTTGTCAGGCCACAGAGGAAGAGGACCCAGGCAGTCTGGGGTCAGATGATAAGGGAGGAGGGCTTTCCCTTTCTGTGATCAAGGGGAGGGGTTAGGGGAAAAGAGGGAGGAAGGGTGGGGCTGGGAGGAGACTAGAGAGGGGGCTACAGTTGGGATATAAAGTAAATAAATTATAAAAATTTAACAAATTTAAACAGCGAAAAAACAAAAGAGTCAAATTAACAATAAGGCAAGGGTGAACCAGAGAGCACTGTATTATAAATGCTAATATGGTGTCTGCACATTAAGGATATACTATATAGGTATTATATATGTAATTATTATATATGTATATTAGAATGAAAAGCTGTAAGAGCCAGGAAAAGTCTAGCAAATTTTCATAGAGGAGCTGAGATTTAAACTGGGTCTTGCCAAGCAGGTGCTTGGATGTATAGAGAGCATAAAAACATCTGCCTTCTATTTAGTGCTGCTCATGCACACTTTATACGCTTTTCTTTTTATGTCCTTATATCTAGCTCAGGGCCTAATACCCAGAAGGTGCCCAATAATACTGATGGTGACATTAAAGAATTCAATATCACCTTTAATGTGGTTAGGTATGTGCCTTGTATCCCTGATCTAAGACTTTAAACATGAAGGGGTATTGGATTTTGTCAAAGGCCTTTTCAGCATCTAATGACATGATCATGTGACTTTTTTTCTTTCAGTTTGTTTATATGGTGGATGACATTGATGGAATGTGGTATGCTGAATCATCCCTGCATTCTTGGGATGAAGCCTACTTGATCATGATAGATGATATTTTTGATGTGTTCCTAGATTCTGTTGGCAAGTATTTTATTGAGTATTTTTGCATCAATGTTCATAAAAGAGATTGGTCTGAAATTCTATTTTTAGTTGGGTCTTTGTGTGATTTAGGTATCAGGGTGACTGTGACCTCATAGAATGAGTTTGGCAATATTCCCTCTGTTTCTATTTTGTGGAATAGTTTGAGGACTATTAGTTCTTCTTTGAAAGTCTGGTAGAATTCTGTGCTGAAACCATCTGGCCTAGGGCTCTTTTTGGTTGGGAGGCTTTTAATGACTACCTCTATTTCCTTAGGGGTGATAGTGAGCAGCAGATTGAGACAGATGCTGGGACTTAGAGCCAAGCATGGGGTGGAGCTCTGAGGGTCCTGTGGAAATGTGGGGGAAAGATGGAAGGACATGGAGGGGACAGGAACCTTACAAGAAGACCAACAGAGACAACCAACCCAGTCGCATGGGGGCTTACATGAACTGAGACATCAACTAAGTAGCATGCATAGTCTGGGCCTAGGCCCCCTGCACATATGTGGCCTATGGGCGGCTTGGTCTTCATGTGGTGTTCCTGGCAAGTGAAGGGGGCCACTGTTTCTAACATGGATTCTGGCCTGCTTTTGGATCACTTCCCCCAAGCAGGGCTGCCTTGCCTCGGTCCATCTTCACTTTCCTCTGCTTTCAATAGTCTTGTCTTTGCCCTATCATGTGAGACAGCTTATACTCCATTCACTCTCTCCTAACCTTGGCCTCTCTCATCTCTATCTTCACGTTAGCAATCTGTTCTTTCACTCACAAATTGCACATGTCTAATTTTTTTTTTTGAAACAGGGTTTCTCTATGTAGCCTTGGTTGTCCTAGACTTGCTTAGTAGACCAGGCTGGCCTGGAGCTCACAGAGATCCACCTGCCTCTGCCTCCTGAGTGCTGGGATTACAGGCGTG